GAAACCCAAGGAGGGGTCGCTATGAGTTGGGGCCGACTTGACAGCACATAACAACAACAAAAACAAAACAAAGTTTAATGAGAAAAAGAAAAACAAGATTATCATGTAGGTATGTGATAAAGTAAAATTTTAATTACAGAATCTAGACAATGGGCATTGCATAAATCTGTCAAACTTTTGATCTATCTGAAAATTTTCATAAAATACTGGGATAATTAAAAAGAAAAAACTCAACTGCCAAAAACAGAATTAAACTATCCTAAAGTGGACGTACAGGTACATAACCTAGGGGCTATAAATCTGAAAGAATTCATGCTATTTGGAGGTTAGAAACATCACGTCCAAGTCATCAGGACAGGCTGTGATTCTGAAATTACTGCTATGATGCTTTAATAAAGTACCCTTGGCTATTTGCAGAACCCAAGTTGTTTTCATCTCTAAAATCCCAAGTTAAAGACCACTACCAGACATTAGTATGGGTATTTACTAGGAATAAGTTGTCCTAAACTGTTATAACCAAGATTTTGATTCTTAGAGAGAGCCAACAAAGTTACCAGTTGTGGAATGGTGCTTTAATGGAGAACCTGTCTACCTGAATGTTCAGTTAATTGTAATCCACTCCTGACACAAACCCCTTGGCAAAGCTGCCGAGAGGTTTAAAAAATTGTAAAATACCTAGTCGAACACCTAGTTCATGGTAAACCAAAAAACCAAACTCACTGCCATTGAGTTGTTTCTGACTCGTAGCAAACCCCCTTGAGATTTCCGAAGCTGTAAATCTTAACAGAAGTAGACTGCCCCATCTTCTGTCTGTGAAGCAGCTGGTGGGTTTGAACTGCTGACCTTCTGGTTAGCAGCCAAATGCCTTATCCACTATGCCACCAAAGCCCCTTTAGCTCATAGTAGGTACTCAAAAATGTCACCTTTTCCTTCTCTTCCCCATCAATTTTCAACTCTTATGAATCCCTCCACCTCTAGTATCAGGTTGTTTACGCTTTAACAAGAACAACAACAACAAAAAGGAAAAAGAACGTTACTTTTTTTCTAGACCACGCCACTGAATCCAAAACAGACTCCACGTAGTACTAAGAGAGGACCTTGCAGGTGGCAAGGCAGTTTCACAGCACAGGTTTGTCCTACTAAGTTTGTAAGTTAAATATTATAGCCTAAAGCTCAAACTCTCTCCGCTGTTCTTGATTACTATAAAAGGGTTAACTCATTTTATAAAGCACATTCCATGCTAAATTACAGTGAGATATGGGACGCTCGTTGTAGGAAATTTTTTAAAGCATAAAAAGAAACCAACCTAAAGTTTGCCATGCTAATTGGTTATGTTTAATGATGAAATTTGAGGTTTCTATCCAACTGGTTATTTAAAGGAAAGGCATTTAAGTACTTCAATGACCTGAGTACTATTTCCGCATGGTACCTTATTTAATTCTCCAATATACAGTGCTCTATTACACCACAGTCCATAACAAAATTAATCACTTTCCCTATATTGAACATTTTTATTTTCTGACATTCTCCCAAATCAAACCACTAAACATTTTTACATAGTTCTTTTTCTTTTCTCCTTAGTTAAGATGATCCTGTATATACAAATCTGTACACAGACAAGCTCACTCTGGAAAACATTTGTAATTCAATATACCTGATAAAAGCACACTACACATTGCCTTCTAGAGAACTGGAGGTAGTTCTCTTTTATTCTATTAAAAGCTGAGGATACAGAAGAACAAAAGGGATTTGTCAGTTTTATGTCTTAATTCATGAAAAGAAATTAAGTGGGGAAGTAACCTGGCTGAAATTAATAAAACTTCCCACTATTTGATCTATAGTGTAGAAAAGAGGGAATGAGAATAGAATTCTATTATTCCAATTAATGAGCTCCCCAAAGAATTCTGAAGACTTTTCTGATGAAAATATTATATATTCTTCTAAGCATATGTAATAGAGAATGTCATAAATGACTAAATACACTCCTTGATAACTAAATGTGCTTATTTCTGAAGATAATGTATATATGAAATATATACTTAAAAAAAAACCTCATTGCCATCGAGTCAGATCTGACCCATAGTGACCCCTCCTTGGGTTTCCGAGGTGGTATCAGTACGGAAGTAGATTTCCTAATCTTCCTTCCGAGGAGTGGCTGGTAGGTTTGAAGTGCCAGCCTTCTGGTTCACAGTCAAATGCCTTAGGCACTATGCCACGAGAGCTCCCATGAAATATATATAATAGTATTTATATGCAATAGCATGCCTATCATTCTCTAAAAATATGCATAAACTCAAGAGAATACTGATGCAGACTGTGTGAGAACAAGCGTGAATATACTTGAACTGAATAAATTTATTAAACATTCTATTTTTCAGCAAATGCAGAAGAGAAAAAATTAATACATTTATCTATATAGCAGATAATGTATACAGATGAGCAGAATCAGGCAGCTAAGTGAAGTGCACTTTCAGTGCCTATTAAGGTACTATTAAACAACCAGGTCTTCAAACCAATTCAGTTATGGCCAACACAGTGAAATCAGAACAGACACAAAAATTTGTAAAGTGTGGGTATACCAGAACAGGAAAAGTTATGAGTCGAAGCTCTGGAATGGGAGATTCAGAAGAAGTGTACTAAGCCCTTTCAGGAGCCTGAGGTGGGTGACTGGATTACTGCCAGGACTGTGAAGAGCAACACACATTCAAAGTGGTGAAGTCAGCTGCTATCTGTGAGCAGGGCACTGTTGTTTCTGACTATGCTGATCAAGAGATTTGGTTGCTATGCAATTTGCATGCTGCTCTTGTTTTCTAAGAGGGAGATTAAGTTTCTAGCAAGTGTCAACCTGTAATTTTATCCTGTTTTGGTTATCGTTCTAGTACATCCATATTTTATAAATTCAGGTGCACTCTGGTTTCACTTTGTTGGCCATGAGTGAACTGGGAAAAACCAGTTTAAAGCCCCAGAGAATCTTATTTAAAAAAAAAAAAAAAAAACAAACCCACAGGTGATATTATTAAATAGATTAAACAGGTTCAAAATATCTCTGGCAGGATTTTAAAAAAAGGCAATAATGGTTGCCTCTGGAAAAGAGAAAGGTGGGAAATTAGAACACAGAGAAATTTGTTTTTCACTGTATACCTTCATGTACACTACTTAAACTTTTAAAGAATAATGTATACTTACTATTTTTTTAAAAAGTAGAGTTGACTAATAAACTAAGTAACAGAGTATTGAATTATAACCCAAAGCATAAAGGAAATTATCCATGAATCCATGTTGTTGTTGTTGTTGTGTGCCGTCGAGTCGTCCCCGACTCATAGCGACCCCTCCTTGGGTTTCCGAGGCAGTATCACTACGGAAGTAGGATTGCCCAACCTTCCTTCCGAGGAGTGGCCATACAGATATATAAAACAAAGACTGAATAAATAAATAAATGGGATAAAATAGACAAATTTCTTGTGCAGAATTTCAAATGAAGTTTGAAGATACGCCATCTTGTATGAGATGGAGCACAACTGCCCACCTCTTAAGTGTGGGCTGCACACATAGTGACTTCCTTCCCCAAAGTACAGTACCAAAGGGAAGGGCGGGTAACTTTTCATTGGGGAAATGTGACAAACACTGTGTCCACGTGGTGACGAAGGTTAACATCACAAGTCATAAATCATGCTGACAGCACGTACCTTTGGTATGATGTCATTAGAGTGGTACTTCATTTCTGTGGTTTTCCTCCCAGAAACCCACACTGAAACCAAACCAGTTGCTATCATGTTGTTCCTGACTCATGGCTACCTTTTATGTGTCAAAGTAGAACTGACCGGTTTTCAGCGCACACCCACAAAATGCTCACTGCCGTCGAGTGAATCCAGACTCACAGTGACCCCTCCCTGGGTTTCCGAGGCGGTATCACTATGGAAGCAGATTGCCCAACCTTCCTTCCGAGGAGTGGCTGGTGGGTTTGAACCATCAGCTTTCTGGTTAGCAGTGAAATGCCTTAGGCACTACACCACCAGAGCTCAATGTATACTTGTTGTTGTTGTTGTTATGTGCCGTCGAGTCGGCCCCGACTCATAGCGACTCCTCCTTGGGTTTCCGAGGCAGTATCACTACGGAAGTAGGATTGCCCAACCTTCCTTCCGAGGAGTGGCTGGTGGGTTTGAACCGCCAGCCGTCTGGTTAGCAGGCAAGTGTCTTAGCCACTATGCTACCACAGCTCCCCAATGTATACTAGCATATGCATAATAGTAAAACGCATACTATCCCTAATTTACATTGGTGTGAACAAGGTTCTCATGAGAAAATGAAATACAGATAATTAAGGTAAAATATATTGACTGGAAAATTTGTCATCTCTTTTTGAATTTTCAGAAGTAGATCACCAGGGCTTTCTTCTGAGGTACCTCAGCATGGCTCTGACCTGCCAACCGTTCATTTAGCAACTATGTGCTTAACATCTGTGCCACCCAGGGACTTCCCCGAGAACAATAACCCAAGTCTAAGTCATGAGAAGAACTTCAAACAAACCCATATTGAGGGACGTGATACAAAATACACCTGATTGTCAAGATCATGACTAACAAGGTAAGGTTGAGTCTAATGGAGCCAAACAGATGCGACTAATGAATGTAATGTGGCATCCTGGGTGGGATCCTGAGCAGAAAGAGAGATCAGGTAGAAGCTAAAGAACTGGGAGTAAAATATGGACTTTACATAATAACAGTGTATCAACAAGCACTGCATTAACATAGGATGTTAATAGCAGCGGAAAACAGGTACAAGGTACATGGAAACCCTCTGTATTATCTTTGCCATTCTTTTTTTGGTAAATGTAAAACTATTACAAAATTAAAAGTTTACCAAAATAAAGAAAGCGAAGAGTAAATTAAGAAAAAATATTTCTTACAATTAAAAATAGGACTTTTTAAAAGGTTTAATAAGACATGTGAATTAAAGAAAAATTTGGGAAATACCAGTAATGACAAGATATAAAACAGTAAAATGCATACTATCCCTAATTTACATTATGAACAAAGTTCTCTTGAGAAAATGAAATACAGATAATTATAGTAAAATACATTTACTGAAAATTTTTCATAACTCTTTTAAAAATTTTGCAGTGATTTCATAGCAAGAGTTTATCGCAAATACAACAAAAAATAAAACCAGAAAATTTCCCTCTCACCATTCGCTGCAGCCAGAAAGGATTTGTTACTGCCCCGAGCCTTGTTGGTCAGGTCTTCGGTTATGTCCATGTGCCGATGGATTTCTTCACGCATTTCTTCTAGAATTTTGCAAAGTTCTGCTTCCCAGTAATCTTTGTCTAGACACTCAATTAATTCTGCAAGCTGGACCTTTGTGCTATAGTACCAAATTTTCTTTTCATTTTCATTTTCTGTATCTTCTTCTCTGTTTAAATGAAGTACAAAAATACTTTCCATGTTAGACACAACATCACTGATCTGACAATTTCACCCACCCACTGAAAAGTTAAAACATGTAACACTAAAAGCTCCATGTGTTTATTTGCAAGAGATGCCCTTAGGTCTCACTGAAAATCAACTTATTCTTATTTATTTGTGCAAACTCTATTTTAACTTCCTATCCCACAGCAACTTAGGCTAAAATAACAGGGAGAAATAGTGGAGAGAGAGATATTCGTATGGCAGCAAGGCATATCTGGCACCATTACACACAGAGAAACGACTTCAAAATTTAGCGACGTGTGAGAGTACTAGATGGAGCGCGAACAGCCTAAGTTAGACCTCAACCGACTTTGAAGATCATCCATCACTGTGTCTTAGCATGATGGACCTAATTCCATCCCCTGAGCTCACCAGAAACGTTTAGATTATGTACACAGCAGGTTCACGTTATAATATAGTTCAGGAATATTTCCATCAAAATGGTATCAATGCTTTGTTAAGTTCTGGTCCTTGAAGTAGGCCCCTTGATTTAGTAATAATGGATCATCTCTTCTTATGGACAAAGCCAAAGGAGGAAAGAAAAGGGGCAGCCTCCTTTCTTGTCTAAAACTCACCTAAGGTTCCACTAACTTTGAACAGAATTGGAGACTTCAACAGAGATGGTCCTTAACTTAAAAAACAAGGCAAATTAATGTCTAAGACCAGACTTAGAAAGTATGCACAGTAGTATTTTTTCTCTCTTGAAAAGAATTTAGGAATATATATGGAGGTACCTGATGAGAGAGTTCCACTTTCCCATTTACTCAAAGGCAAACTGATGGGGCGGAAACAACTGGGCTTTGAGAAAAATCTGGCATCAAACAAGCTCAGTCAAGACACAACCTCTCTGAATCATTTTACCCTATTGGTAAACTGAGGATAACAGCACCTGCCTTGAGGCCTATTTGAAGAATGAATCATGGTAGTATGGTAAAGCATGTGTCACAGTGCCTGGGCACATGGTTGGTTAGTGATCAATAACCACTAAACGGTATTGCTATTAAGGTAATAAATCACTAAAAGTCTAGCCTGATCCTAGGAATGAGTCATTCAGTAATACAGAATGTATAAGATAATACAATTAAGGGTATCAAAATTACCAAAACTTTTCAAATAAAAGAATGATTAATAAAAGGTCCCTGTTATCTAACTTTGCTCTTTCAAATTAATATCTGCTGACAAAGGTGATCAAGTTTCTCTGTTGAAAACATGTATGTAAATTTCTGACAGTCACTTTTTCTTTAATCTGCTCAGAAGAAAGGTTGGGCAATCCTACTTCCGTAGTGATACTGCCTCGGAAACCCAAGGAGGGGTCGCTATGAGTCGGGGCCGACTCGACGGCACATAACAACAACAACAACAAGATGCTATTCTTTAATGGGCATTTCTGCTAACTTCTTGTGACTGAGTGATGACACTGGTCCTATTTCAATTTTCAATGTTGAAGAGGTCAGAATCCTCTAATACAAAAGATTCCTAATAAGCTTTCAAAAGGCGATACCACATCAAAAATCTAATTAGGCACCAGTATCAAATCATAATACCAAAGCACTGACTGAGCCTAAACAGTCACAAGTGCTAGCACCAGGTTCAATGGGAGGAGACCAGACGGCTTTAGTTTTCTCCTAAACTATCGATCTTAATGATTTCCTCTGTTATAAAGATGCCGAATTATTTCCTTAATTTGTTTTTTTTTTCTTTTTATTCAGAAATATCCAAATATTTCAAAGGAAGAAAAACATTCCACATAAAAGTTTTTGGGGATAGAAAATATAATTTACATGCATAAGATTTCAATATAAATTTAATGAAATGGACATCCTGTCCAGTTTTTCAAGAAACTCCCAGATTATGGAAAGGGTCTAACAGCTGACTAGGCCACACTACCACCTACAGCATTGGCCATCGTGAGAGAACTCACTCCCTCGCATCCCAGTCCGTTCTAGATTGGAAATGCTCTTTTAGAAGGTAATTCTTTATAATCAGCTGACTCAAATCTCTAACGTCCATCCACTGGTTGTGGTTCTGCTTGCCAGAGGGAAGTGAAATACATCTAACACCTCCTCCACACACAGGCCTTCCAATCTTTCATGGCATCTGTAAGTTTCTCTGCTTTGTCTTTTCCAGGCAAAAATGTGCTGATTCCCCAATCATTCCCCATCCAGCACACTTTCCAGAGTCTTCACTTCCCTGATATTATTCTCCTAAATGCAGTCTGTCAGTGGCTCTCAGTGGCTGCCGGTCACACTCTTTTATTTTATTTATCAAAAACAATATTCACCCGTGGCTGCACTTTTTTGTTCTTGAAGCTGTAGATGGAGAAATTCATCAAAAGCAGAGAGAAGCAAAGCAGAGTGAGCAGTAACTGCTAAAGAAAGAAAAGGCAGGCACCGAAGTAGCGCTTAGACGCCCAGGTCCTAGCACTGGAATTCCTACGTTCAAATCCTGCTTTTGCCACTTGCTAGCTATATACTCTATATAAATTACTCACCCTCTCTACACGGCAAATGCTTCATCTGAATACTTACGCACTTGGGCACATGTACACAGTTCAGGATAATCAAAATTATTTGTCCCACCAGCCACTCCTCGGAAGGAAGGTTGGGCAATCCTACTTCCGTAGTGATACTGCCTCGGAAACCCAAGGAGGGGTCGCTATGAGTCGGGGC